TCACTATTCGACACAAAATTATTATGATATAAGTATTTCAGAGCTCTTTCAGTTTGTTGGCCTTATTAAGCTATCAGATAATCAGACCGATGAGGTCGACAAGTAATAAATGTGCCTCAGTTTCATTACAACCAATAACCAAGTTGGGGCGTCGAACCGAAACAAAGCCAATATTTGACTGGCTTCAAAAGATACAGATAATTATAAGAGAACGCTAAGAAAGCAGTTCTTAATGGTTTGACCTTTATGATTTTTGTCTTTAAATGTAGAATAAATCTCTTTTGTTTTCCGAAACGTTGCATAATTTTAAGCAGCTCTGCTTATCCAACAAATTTTTTGATGATCAGTCAGTGAACAGTGTAAGAAGTTCTCAGATTTTACGAGTTTCTTTCTTGCTTTAAATCCAAGAGCTTTTTAGTTTCAATTTTTTTCAGCATTATTTCACCAACAAATGCAGAATACAATACTGATATACAAAATTTTTTGTTACCCTAATGCTAATATTAAAGTGTACTAAAGCGTATCAACAGTAATATATTTTAAACATTTTATGGAAATGTCAAAAAATTTGTATTCAATGTGATCGGTGATAAACGAAAGCATTATCTTACTTTGTTTTAACAGCCTAACTACAGTAACAATTCCAGCTGCAATCAAACAGCACTTTTAATAAGCGCATTAAAACCAGTATACTACAGAAAAGGCTTTGGAAAACAATTTGGTATCAATATTTGAATACTAAAACTGTATAATCAAAAATTCTTTTTCTTCGATGTTTACTACACTTTTTTTACTGTAGTTTTTTTAAGTAAAGAACAATGTATTGAAGATCTGGGAATCTAAAAAAACACAGGTTCATTGAGACATATATAATATGGTAAAATATAAGATTTAGTCAAAAAAAATTTTTCTGCTACTCTTTTGGCAAGCGGGCAATACTTGGTTACAATGAAAACAAGCTGTCGCTAACAGTCATTAAATATGTGGAATGCACCGCTGTAGTGATAATAAATTTTGCATTTCCTTCCACCTTCAACACAAAGCTAAGATGTACACCTGATTATGAAAACTGCTAGTCAGTTATGGGTTGGTAATAAGTTAAAAATAGTACAAATAAACTGCACTCGTCATTTTCGTCCTGTGGTCTACAGTTGGTACGTAGTTCAGAGCCTGTTTGACAACGGCAAGCAGTGGCTATCGGAATTTCTGAAGAAGTTTCATAATTTTTTGCTGCAATAATATTCCACTTTCATCATAATGACATTTTTCATTTTACTGCTACCAGGAAAACAAGGCCATAACGCTTTCTTCCTTTGGTTTCGCAATGTCATCGTAGTTTCTTCTTTTTCGGACAGCTTCACGTTGAATAGATAGTTTTAAGCCTTGGAAGGGGTTAAAATCTTGTTCTTCTACACCGGGCAATTGTCAATAAAAAAACAACATACTTTAAGCAGTAGAAGTTAGGGACTTATTAATGAAAAGGAAGTTATGAAATTGTATTTGTTAATAAGTTTATGAGTTTGATGACGAGACAAAGTAAAGGCTTAAGATTTCTTCATCGCTTGATCACTGATCACTCTGTTCAGTGGACAAACGTTAAGGTTATTGCTCATTTTTCCAGTTTCCATTCATAATCTGTTTCAGCTGTCTATTCCTCAACCTCATCTCCTGTGTAATGATCCTAAAACAGTAAATTTTATTATAGAAAAGGTTCAACGTGGAATGAGTTAATCAGCGTAGTTTTTAAGGCATTAATAACGCTAAAATATTACTTTATTTCCATATTCAGTTTAATTTGTA